CCGGACCAGCCCGACTTGGAACCTAGAAGCATCGTCCAGAGAGGCCACTGTACCTCCCGGCCACATCGCCGATCTCAGATCCCAAAGGCAGCCCTGAGACCTTGGCTCTGGCGCTCACTAAGGCACGCCATCACCAAGAGGAGGCGGTCACCGAGTCTGGGGGCCTTGTGTGGGTTACGGGAACCGTGTAGAGACGTCGCACAAAGTCTCGTTTACTAGTGAAGAAAGTGCTTGATAAACGGTGGCTCCGTTGTTGCTGCGTTAGGGCTCTTCCTTGGCTAACCCAAAGCATGGAGAAAGAGAAGAGAATTGTATCAGATGAGAGGGGTATGGTCAGCCGACTCTAGCTGCCCTGGTGAAGCCAGGACTGCAGGCATGGCGCAGGGCCTGGGGGCGCCCGAGGAGTCTTCCCCAGTTCTCAGGGGGCAGGGATGCTGTTCAGAAAGCAAACCTCCAAGTCCTGTTCTGTGCCTTCAGCCCTGGGTAGGTTTGCAAGCGTCTGTCTGTCTGGAAAAGGCGTGCCTGGGGTGTAGCAGGCCTCCCTGCTCTGCCGCCCTCCCCCTCCCGCCCCCCGCACACAAAACCACCCCTTGGATAGAGAATATGCTTCTTATAAAACACCGGGCATTCCATCCCAGAACTTACTTATCTTCTAACGCAGTGGTTCTCAACCTTCTGGCCCTTTAAATACAGTTCCTCATGTTGTGACCCAACCATAAAATTATTTTCGTTGCTACTTCATAACTGTAATGTTGCTACTGTTATGAATCGTAATGTGAATATCTGATATGCAGGATGGTCTTAGGCGACCCCTGTGAAAGGGTCGTTCAACTGCCAAAGGGGTCGCGACCCACAGGTTGAGAACCGCAGTTCTAACGGGAAGCCTGTGCCCTTCGACCTCTACCTCCCGACCCCTCCCCAGCCTCGTGAGCACATCCCGCTCCCCTCCTGCCAGTGTGGCTCTTTAGGTTCCACATGTAAATGAATCTGCAGAACTTGCCTTCCCCTGTCGGGCTTAGGAAATGGTAACCATGTAGGGATGGAGGAGTTAGCTGAGCTCTGTGCTCATCACTGGGTAAGCCTTAAACTTCTCACTGCTGTGTGGGTTTCATCTCACTAAAGCTGGGGGAACTGGAAAAGCTCATGGCCCTGCTTCCTCCTCTCCGCCCGGCCTGTGGCTGGCCAGTGGTGCCCGAAAGCCAGCAGGGAGCGGAGCTGCCACTCCTCGTCACGCGTCCCCAAGGGCACTGCTGCCCACCCCGTCCTGGGGGCCCCAGGGGCAGGCAGCACCTCCCCGGCATTCACAAGGCCAGTGAGGGAGGGAGATGGATCTTTCCAGCAAGAAGAGGTTATTTCATGAAATGTCGCCTCCACAGAGAGGACCAGGCGGAGGTGACACCCCATTAATAACTTGGGAAAGCTCTAATCAGTCCCGTTAATTTGGCATTCGTTGTAAAAACATTCCTCACGGGGCACTGAAGCCCATGACAGTAGCAAGAAATTAATTCCACGGAGTAGTGGACGGAGCTGGTGTGGCGAGTGATTCACCCGCTCCCCCGGGGTGTCATTTCGTGGCCCCGTGAGAATCAGTAGCTTTAACATCCACCTGCTCTCAGGTGAGTCAGCGGGGTGTCCGGCAGGTCCCTGGGCTGGGAGTGAGGAGAACTAGGGAGGTTATGGGCCTTCTCCTTCCACCCTCGGGCTCGCTGAAGATCGGGGGTTTCAAAACACAAAAGAGGCTTCATAATTTCGGGACCATAGAGGAAGCGAGGGAAACCAGGCCAGTTGTCAATTGGATTCAGTGGAGATTTTTAAAGTTTTTTAAATTATTTTTTTAGTCAGTGGAGAATAACAAAATGTTGTCATGTTGTCTGAATACAGGGCAGAGGCATGAGAGAAAATTCATTCCTAAAACATTATGAAAATACTAGAGGCCCGAAGCACGGATTCGTGCACTGGTGGGGTCCCTCAGCATAGCCTGCGGGGATCGGCCAAAACCGGCCGTCCAACGCCGCCTGCCGCTCCTGCTCATCCTGGCCCCACTACACCTGCCGCTGCCACCGCTCGGTAGGCAGGCTGCTGCTCCGCTGCGGTCTCCAGGCTACGGTGGCCCTGAGTCTGGTGCCCATTGGTCAGCTGAGCAGCACTCCAGCTGTGGGAGCGCACTGACCACCAGGGGGCAGCTCCTGTGTTGAGCGTCTGCCCCCTGGTGGTCATTGTGCATCATAGCGACCAGTCGACTGGTCGTTCGGTCACTTAGGCTTTTATAGAGAGATGTAGGAAGAGTCCTAAGCCAGTCCCAGCCGATAGCACACATATACCTTTCAGAGAGGACACGCCACGTCGGCAAAGACAGCAGTGCAGGCGGCTGTCATAGGAGGAAGGCGGCCACCTCGGCATCGAGGAGTGGTGGGCGAAGCATCACACATTCACAGCTGAGCTACTACAACAATCAGAACAATCCCGGCTCCAGAAACACGTGCGAAGACATGAACCAGGCAGCGGTCAGCCTTTTGGACCTCATGGACCACGGTTGGCGACCGCTGACCTAGGCAAGCATATTAGGGCTAAAAATAAGCGGTTTGGTGTGTGCTGGCATACGGGAAAGATCACTAAGTTGACCTGGTCAGACTATGGGCGTTTTACCCACCTTGAAGTGTCTTGAATACAGCAATATGATATATCCATTAAAAATTAAAAAGAAAAGGTGGTTAAATAGAGTAAACTGCACGTACCCTCAGCACTGCGGGCATTGCCTTCCTGAGTGTTCCTGGAAACACCAAACTCAAGAAGCGGAAAGGATGAATTAGAAGAAGAAAATGTGATACTCACGTTGGTTCCAATAAGCGAGGAACATAATGGACATCCAATGGAACCAAGTGTTCCTTCAACCTCAGACAGCAAACTGACTGCGCCTAGGACAAACCACAAAGTTAATCTTCCTCAGATGGGTGAGCAATTCAAAGATCGCCCAAACCAGCCCTTCCCCTGCCGACCACCTGGCCATCATTTAATGAAGTGGTCACAACGCTGCAGAACGGGTGCCAACAACGGGATTTGAGTTCCGATGGTGGGAAGACAGAGTGTGTCTGAGTCTCAGGGAACGTGCTTATTTTGGAAACAGCGAGTGAGTGGGAAGCATGGATGCAGTGTACAGAGCATTACTGAAACACTAGAAGAGGCCACACTGCAGTCATGGTCGGGAAACTGACCAAGAGAGCAAGGAGTAAGGACAGTCATCAGATGAGCAAAAGAGGAAGAGACTCATACAGATGAAGGGGCCAGGACAGTGAAGGGGCCAGTACAGCTGAAGGGGCCAGTACTATTGAAGTGACCAGTACAGCTGAAGTGGCCAGTACAGCTGAAGGGGCCAGTACAGTGAAGGGGCCAGGACAGCTGAAGTAGACAATACAGTTGGAGTGATGACTTCAGCTCATGAGGCCCTGTTGGCGGCGTGGCAGGAGCTCGCTGTCGAAGGCTGCGGTCCATACAGCATTCCTGTTCTGTTGAGGCTTTTCTGCTGCAAGCATCTGGCGTCAGGGGGGTGGTCGGTGGCAGCCGTCTCTGGCAGACAACAGGGTCGGGTTCGCCTGCAGTTCCGTGCAGGTCAGACCTGGTGCCTGACACTCCCACGAAGATGACTTCTCTCTGACTCTTACCGCCTGTGCTTTCCCATCGCCAGACCTGGAAGGTACCACGTTAGGCCCTGACTGTGCTAAGAGGAGTAAAAGGACGATGGAGAAATTAGTTAAAATGAGGAAGAAAAGGTCACCTGGTGTGCACACTCTTCGTGCAGAAGAAATGGCGGAGCTCACAATGGATTACCTGTGCCCCGCTGGTCGCTGTGCCTGCCCGGGACGCCCTCCGCATTGACGCCTGGCGTGCAGGTGTGAATGTTAGATTCTGTGCTGGAGGTTTGCCAAAAAGCGACTGCACTGCTGCTTCAGGTGTTCAGCTTGTAGAATATGGTTTTGTTTTAATTAATAGATTTTAAAGCAGTTTCAAGGCTTTTGGAAAAATTGAGCAGAAAGTAAGAGTTCCCAAATTCTGTCCTCCCCCCCCCATCTCCCCTCCGATCAGCACCCTGCACCAGATGGTGCGTTTGTTGGACTTGCATTGACCCGTCATTGGCACTGAAAGCCCGTAGTCGACATTAGGGTTCACTCTTCGTGTTTTACATTCTATGAGTTTTGACAAATGTAAGAGATGTGTCCACGATTATAGAATCACACAGAACTAGTTTCACTGCCCTAAAAATCCTGGGCTCCTATTTGACATTCCCTGTTCCCAATCCCTGACGCCCTGACGTTTTTACTGTATCCACAGCTTCACCGTTTCCAAGATGTCATACAGTTGGAATCAAACCGTAGCCTTTTCATAGTCACTTCTTTCACAGCAACTGCATTTAAGGTTTCTCCATGCCTGTTCACAGCTTGGTAGCCCCCTCCTTTTTGGCACTAAATATTCAATTGTCTGGGTGCACCATCACTTGCTTATCCATTCACATATTGCAGGTCATCTTGGTTGCTTCCAGATTTTGGCAATTATGAATAAAACTGCTGTAAACAAAACAAAAAAATTTAAAAAGAAAAAGAAAGTTGTTCTCAGCCATGAGTTTTAGGAATTCCACTCAACAGGCATGCACTCAAGCCTCGTGAGTGGGATGGTGTTCGGGTCCACGCACGCACACCCCTCAGGGAGACAGCGCCTTCCCTGCGGTGGGTCGGCGCACCCCTCCCCGGTCCGTGTGCAAACCCTTGGAGACACTTCCCAGGACTCACCTGGAAGCCAAAGCCAAAGGGAGAAAAAGGAGGGTGGAGGGTTGGAACCTGGCCCGGCCCTGCTGTGGGCACCCCTAATTCCATTGTGAGGGAGCAGCCTGTTATTTCTAATGAAGAATCTAATTGAGAAGGGTGCCCGCATCAGCCTGGCCAGATTAGATTAGAGAATTTCAGGGTAATCTATCAAATGCAATTTAAAAGCAGGACCGGAGTTCTGCATTAAGAAAGAGGACCTTTAATGATGGATCCCTTATCCATGGTCGGCAAACTGCAGCTCGCGAGCCACATGCGGCTCTTTGGCCCCTTGAGTGTGGCTCTTCCTAAGCCTTAGGAGTACCCTAATTAAGTTAATAACAATGTACCTACCTATATAGTTTAAGTTTAAAAAATTTGGCTCTCAAAAGAAATTTCAGTCGTTGTACTGTTGATATTTGGCTCTGTTGACTAATGAGTTTGCCGACCACTGCCTTAGGTCATGTAAGCTATAAAGCAGTTATCAAGCACTTAGAAATGAGAATAACCTGTTTGGACATTAGGATGGAGGGGGAGGCCACAGCTACATTGGAGCCCGGAGCAAACCCATCACTCCCACGTGGCCGGAGCCCGTCTGCGTGTTTGGAGATTTTTCCGGGGCCTCGGGGGGGTGCTCAGCATTCTCCTCGCTGCCCGTCACGGACTTTTACGGACTGAGTTGTGCACGTCTCCCATTTGTAATGATTCCTAAAATGTTTCATAATCAGGAAATGTCCCAGGAACGGTCCCATCTCCTCATCTGCGTGGAATAACCCGGACTTTTTCTTCTGCTAAACTGCTATCACGCTGTCAGCCTCAGTTACTGTAACAGTCATCGCGCCTTCTCTGTTTTATTACTGGGCTGTTTCACCTCTGAGTAACTTAGTTCTCAGACCCAACGCCAGCTGTCAGCGAGGGAATGTTTCCTCTCGCCTGGATGTCCTTGGCCGGCCATGGCTCTGTATCCAGCAGAGCACGAGTTCGCAACACATATTTGTTAGATGGATGCTATTCGGGAGGGAAAATGGAATTAAATGTCAGGTTTATGGGCATAAGGTCCAAAATTCATGGAAATTGGAAACACTTGATGTTATTACCTAGAAAATGTTACTACCAATGTGGCTGAGGTACTTAATTAACCTGGCAGGTCAGATTCTGAGCAACACCCTGGAAGGAGTAATGGATGTTTGATTCAGACACTTTTTCCTAGTGTTTGTTCTACTGTGAAAGATCTCGAAACGAAGATGTGAGTTTTCCCGGGAAAACGTGTCAGGGAGAACGGACTGGGCTGAGCCTTCTGGCTGAACAGCCAGGACTCCTTGCTTTTCCACGGGAATTTCAGAGGGTGAAAGCACCCCTGTTCTTGTCCCACCTGGACCTCAAAGGCAGTCTTGGTCTGTGTGCCCGCCCTCAGGGCCCTGCCCTCAGCCATGTGTCCAGGTGGGTACACATCACCGAGGCAGGCGGGCACACATCACCGAGGCAGGCGGGCACACGTCACCGAGGCAGGCGGGAAACGCAGACACACTCAGCTCCCTGGGAACAAGATGCCCCCTAGAACTTTGGGAAACACTATAGCAACATCCAAGCCAGTTATTTGCAAATGATTCTTCCAGCCTTTTCTTTTCACAGACTTCCCAGGACTCCTCCTTTGTAGCATTTTGTGGGGAGTTTGTTTGTGTGTTTGTGTGTTTGTTTGTTTATTTTTCATTAATCCTCCCAAGGATTTTTTTACATTGATATTTTTTTAGAGAGAGTGGGAGAGAGAGAGAGAGAAAGAGAGAGAGAGAGAGAAACATGGATTCAAGAGAGACACGTTGATCAGTTGCCTCCTGCAACCCAGGCACCCATCCTTGACTGGGAAATTGAACCCAAGACCCTTCAGTATAAAGGCCAACACTCCAACCATTGGGCCACACCAGCGATGGTGTTGGTAGATTTTGCTAGCCCTTGTGGATTATCACAACTCAGATATCTACACTGGGAAGTCATAATCTTCCCTTTTTGAAGTAACCTTCCTCGATCGGGATGTCTCTCTGCCCTGGGACATGGCTGCTCCCACAGCCCATGAGGCTTCATTGTACGCGTCTGACTCCTGGCAACACGGGTGTCCACTCACGATAGAACGTGACGTAGGTGAGCTTAGGCACCAGTGGATGAGTTGGGAAAAGACAGACGAGTGTTATTTATTTCAGACTGTGTGTAATCTATGTACATCATGGCTGAAATCTAGGTCCGCTGTTTCCGCTTCTAATGAGCAGTTAGCAAATTAGTGAATTGATTTTTCTGTTTGTTCTTCAATTTGGAAACCTAACCACTTACCTGGATGGTTTTGTGTTTACATAATGGCTTCATGGCCATTCACAGCTGGAATTATGTTTGACAATTTCCTCCATTGGGCCTGACTGGAGAGTGTAAATCACACGCGTCCAGGCCAGACACCAGTTCAGCGCTGCCCGCTGGGTGCCCGTCTGAGCCTCCAGCCAGATCTGTCCTGTGTCTGCCCCGGGTGCCATTCCTGCTGGGTCCTCCGCCCGCTCCTCAGCAGCACCCAGACCCGGCTTATCCCTCCCTGACTCACCACTGCTCCCTCCACACATGCTCTGGCTCCGCCTGCAAGTACCGCTACCCAGTGATGCCACCATCTCAGCAGGTGCCCGAGTCAGAAAGCTAGCATCTTGGGCTCCTCTCCCCAGCTGGACCCACCATCAGTCCTGGGAACCGATGGCCTGAGGTTGTGAGGACCCATCCTCTCCTCTCCATGCCCCCAGCCCCTCGCCTCTGGGTTTCTGGGCAGCTGCCTGCTCGATGCCCCCAGAACCTACCCATGTGCCCGAATGGTCTCCCTCCGCAGCCAAGGGCCTGTCCGTGTTCCTCCGTGAGCTCTTCCCCGGCTGCCGGCTGTGGGAGAACCCGCACTCCGTCACCCTTCCTGGCGGCTCACCTTCCCTGGCTGAGGACCCGAATGTCCCAGACCCCTGGTCACCTCAGCGCCTCTGTACTCCCTGTCCCTTCATCCAGAGCACACTCAGTTCCACCCGCCCCAGCCCCAGCCTCCTCTGCCTGGTCCAGGCCTCCTGCCTTGCAGATTTTGGCTGAGTCTTCTCTGTCCCCATGTCCTCACCTGCTGGCCAGGATTGGGCAGGAGACCCTCGGCTTGTCTGCCACGGCCTCCCATGCGCCGCCGCCGCCCTCCCCCTGCGCCGCCCTCCCCACCTGGGCACAGTGGGGTGATGTCCACACCTCCTCGGCTTCCCTGGGGACTGTGAGCACCTAAGCAGCACCTCAGGTCACCGGTGCATTCCCAGCCCGTGGCAGACCTGCGATTAGTGAGCAGGACCTAGTGCTAAAGGCTGACGGAACTCAGTCAGGCACATGGGCCTCCGTGAAAGCCGGCTACCACTGACGTAAGCAGGAACCCAGCTTCACGTGTTGTGTTTTTCTGCACGTTCATCTCCTGCAGAAGTTAGCTGACCTGTCACTGTAACCGCAGCTTGGTGCCACCCTCCCTTAAGTCTTAACCTCTGAGACACCACACAAGCCATAGTCACCCACCACATCGTGTTCATGTGCAGGCTCCGTGAAATTCCAGTAAACTTCCCGATCTAAAAAAATTGTAATTGCGTGTCCATGCGTTATTTAATTAGCCTGAGTTCCTGCATAGCTGACAGCTCATATGTCACGTACACAGCTGAGAGCTGTGGCTATTACCGGGAAGCGAGTCATTGAAATGTCCTCTGAATGCGAGCAGTCCCTGCTCCTCTCTGTAAGCCCAGTCGCCCCGGGACAGGCTCACAGGGGACTTGCCTAGCCCATTCTGTCTTTCAAATTTCCTGGGTCATCGTGTTACCAGGTTAGTTGATTCCAAAATCTTCCCACTAAAAGGCACATAATAAGAAAAGCATAAAATAACCCTTCCGTGGAAAAGGGAAGTGGCCGTTGCCGATGGAGGAAGTGCACAGACCCTCACTGTGGCGCCTGCCGGGACACCTCCCGTGGCACCTCCCGTGGCTGCATAGCATAGACATCACCCCACGTCCCGTCGAATGGGATCTGGATGGTAAATTGGCGTCAGAGCGAAGCAGGCCTGCGGAGCGGCTGGTTGCTCTGCCTTGCACATCCTGGGTGACAGAGGCCATGTCACGGTATCGGTGACTTCCCGACGTGGCCGAGCGAGCCAGTCCTCTCCCACGGTGGCCCTGCGGTGACCTGGCGAGGGCTCAGTTGGTGCCCACTTGGTGAGCAGGGTTGCAGTGGCAGGTGAGTAGACTAACAAGGTTCTAACTCGGCGACACGAGCTTTCACAAAGACCACCACCTGGCCCGTGCCCGGCACTGCAGGTGCATTTGGATCCAGGCGGGACTTGGGTATCTGTCTATTTAACTGGCGCCTCCAGGGAAGCCAGTGTGGAACCTCACAGGGCAGAGGCTGGCAGACAGACGGGGACTGGTGGCCCTTCCGTTAATGTCGCAGCCTGGGGGTCACGGTTCCAACTTCACACAGCCAGGAACCCATGAGAGTCCATTTTTAATCACCAGGCCCAGAACAAAGGACTGTGTAACACACAAAACTGCCAGAGATTAGAGCGTTTCCAGGGAAACCGTCGCTTCCCAGAGGCGGTTGTATCCTGTTCGGTCAACAGGCACCAACGGTAGGTGCCGGCTTAGGTGGCCCTGGCGCTCACGCCCTCAGCTGAGGTCAGGGTGCCACGAAGCTGCGTGTCCTCTTCTTCTTCCAGCCCGCATCGGTGGGCTGTGGTGTTATTTTCTCCAACCAAACCTGTACAGAAGGGAAACGCCTGAACCAGCAGGTGCTGGGTTCCAGTCAGGGCGTCATCACCACATGGCCGTGTCCACGGGACAGAATAACTGATAACAAACACCCTGCATGCAGGACCCCATGTGCCCTCGCCACGCTAGGCATTTCGAATATATTGTCTTTTTCTGTTCTCCGTGTCTCCATTCAGCAGTGAGAAAATTAAAGTTCAGAAAAATAGGCGTAATTCTCCCCAGGTCACGCCCTAGCGATGCTATGGGAACCGAAGCCCCTGGCCCCGCCTGCTCTGCACCGAGTGTGTCTGAGCTCAGCCCCGTCGTTGAAAAGGCCGAACAGCTTATCTCAGGACCAAATGCGCTCTCATCTATGAAAAGTCTTGGGAAAATCTCTTAAACACCCTGCAAACAGAAAGTGTTGTTGTGAATGACGGTGTTTGTGCTCCAGGCCGCCCGTAGGAAGCTTTTTCTTGCCGCACCTACAGGCTGGCGGCTTCCTAGGCGGCCTGGTGTAATTATCTGCTTCCCTCGTCTTTCCCGGGACTGGCACCCCAAAAGGAGTGGCAGCGCTGGCCCGGATACTTCCCTCTGAGTTCTCTGCGGGCTCCAGAAAGCAGTGGTAGAGCCCCGATAAGACACTGAGCCCCGGGGAAAACACAGTGCCCCTCCCGGGAGGCTGCCCACGAGTGGGGGGCGGGACTCACGCTCAAGGACAGCCTCTTAGAGGAGGCCCCCTTCCCCAGGGGTGACCTAAGCATGTCTTTTCACTTTACACTGAACTATTTTTTTTTTTATTTAGGTC